CCTTTTACAAAAATGTTAGGTGGAAGTTGACTATATGTGAAATTAAAAGGAATTAAATTTACTATATTTCTTGTATTTTATGTTTTTCCCAAATCAGTGAAAATGGGCGTTAACACAAAAACTCTCAAAAAACGCAAGTTTCGGCAATTTACGTTGATGTACCTAATACGAAAAGTATCCAATTTACGAAAATGTTTTCAATCATCGTTGAACTTATCGTATCAATAAGAGAAACTGTAGTTGAAAAAACGGTGCCCTACCAGGTTTCAAAAACAAGACATTTTCAAACTTGCAGATACGTATTAAAAACGCCAAGAGGTCCACATCCTCCTCAACTACAACCACAGTCTCATTTGATGGAGCCAAGAACAAAGCAATGTTTACAATTAGAGTGTCTGCGTCTTCTTTTGCTTGCTTACTTTTTTGCATATCATTTCTGCTGACGAGAACTTTGAAATGAGCATAGATATCAAGCGGCGACCCTTTGTTTTTTTTTTGGATTACCTATCCAGGAAATTTTATTTGACCATATTTTGTATACCTACTGTGTCGTCAAACAGTATATCAGCTACAGCATGTTTCCTATATTTTCTCATTCGCTGAAGTATTAATAACAAATTTTTGTTTTAGCTTTAAAATAATATTTGTCAATTCAAATAAAACTAATAATGCAGTTGCAATTAGATTAGTGATTCCACTTCTTTATTTCACAAAGGGTGCGTCATAGAAAAAAGTGTGGGAATCACTGCTCTATAGAAGGTAATTTAAAAATAAATAACCAACGATTATTTAACTGACTATCCAGAGCTGGGACGAATCCTCAAAAAATTGATTCGAATCCGAATCACGAGATGTGATTCGAATCACGGATCCTATGTCCGAATCCTTTTTGCAATAAAAAAGGATTCGAATCAAGTGATTCAATTCCATTTTTTCGGATCACGAATACGAATCACTGTCAGTGTCATACCATGGTAATATGTAATATTCCGAATCTAATATCAATATCAACTATGTGTCTATTACGGACTATGACTTGCATACAAATGGTTGATACAAGAAGATGTGGAAAAAAATTAACTTATTTTTTTTTATGAATATGAACCATAAAAAAAATTAGAAACTACAAAAAGTATATTTTATTTTAATACAAAAAAAGAAAATAACCAAACAATGAAACAAAAGTGTCTTTTGGTTGGCCTTACATAGCACCAAAATTTCAAAGCCGTTCCTTCGAGGTGCGTCCACTATACCTGCAAACAAAAATAATCGTTAGACTGCACCAGACGAAGGAAGGAAAGTGTTAAATTATAAGATTTTTTTTTATGTTGGATATTCATTGCTAATTTGTAATGTCAAAGAAGGCAACAGGGCACCTAGGCAATTTTGAGTTGAAATCTATGCCAAATATTTAGGCTATTTAAAAGATATTTTTATGTAACTCGTTTTTTGCAAAAATTAAGGTGCTCTGCTATCTTCGAACGAAGTCAGAAGAGCACCTCAGTTTTTTAAGTTTTTATCCAAAAACGATTCAATATTTTTAGGCTATTTTTGGGCTCTTAAAATATTATACAGGATGCTTTGCAAAGCACATCTGTTCCAACATAGCACCCTGCATTATTTAAAAATAGCGATTTTTAGTAAAGTTTTATAATATTTCAAGATCCTAAAAATAGTATTAATATGCGGTGTGGTTGTTTTTAGAAAAAAAGCTTTAAAAGACCGAAGTGCTCTGCTGGGTTCTTTCGAAGCTAGCAGAGAACCTTGATTTTTGCAAAAAAACGAGGAACATAAAATTTTTGAATAGGGTATAAAAATACCCTTAAAATAACCTAAAAGTATAGCTTAGGTTTCAACCAAAGAGGTTAGAAGGGGTAGAGGTATCAGGAAGCATTTGTCGCTGCGCGAATTTTGCCAAAACCGAAAAACTGGGTGGAAGGAGTAGGGAGATGTTCTGGGCCGGACTTAAATATTTGTATTGTAGCACCTAATTTTGGTAGGTAACTAAAAGATGAAAAATTATGAGAATTTTTTTGACTTTATTTGTTAGCACGATTCATTTATGATAGGGCAATAACACTTTATCAATATACAGGGTGGCTCACGCTCAACGGGACGGAGCTTTATGGGAAAACGACCAAAGATATAAAAAATTCGTTTGGGAGGAATACGTAGGTTACAGACGGCTACAATTCAACATTTTTTAGATGTATACAGGATGTCCCACATAAGAAAAAAAAATTAGTTAATTAAAAATTATTCAAACAAGAGTAAACAATTAATTTCTGGGAGACTTTTTTTCCTTAAAAATTCAAATAAATCGAAAACTAATAATAATAGTAATAGGGAACCTTTAGTTAACTGACATTATTTTTGATGTAGTTTTTAATTCTAAAATAAAAAACAGGGTGTTCCATTAAAAATAATATAACTTTGTATATTTTCTAGATGCTCTGCTGCCTTCTTTGACATTAATTTGTAGATTGTTACGTTATCTTCTAAAAATTAACAATCGGTCTTTAGTTTAGTCTAAAATGATCCGAGACTAATATTGGTGATTCGAATACGAATCCTTAAGGATTTCCTCGGCGAATCCGGATCACGGATCCTTTTTTTCTTGAGTATTCGAATACCGTTCTCGGATCCTCAAAAAGGATTCGAATCCCAGGATTCGAATCCTATGTGATTCGAATCCTCCCCAGCTCTGCTATAAACTAAATTTAATATAAATAATATAGCACTCCGCTGTACATTTTTTAATTGATATGAAAGGTTTATCATATGGCGACATCAAATCTTGAGTTGAAGTACCTACTTCCAATAATTATGCGATATATCCGTTTACAAAACTTAAACTGCATTAAATATAGGAAATTTTATACTCTTTAATTTCATCAAACCTGTAAATTTATGTGTATAAAGTGGGAGAACTGGCAAAAGCCTTTCCAACTTTTACTTCTATTCTAAAATGCATAGTTTTGAACTTTTTTCTGAAAATGCCGAAACAAGTTATAAAAGTAATTTTAAAAAAACTGAATCCAAAATCGTGCTTATTCCATCACAAATTGAGATTGCTGATTTTCTCATAGATCCCATCATCAGATCTTGACCAAATAATGTATATGGGACCACCTAAGAGGTACTCCCTTTCTAACAAAAAAAAAATCGTACAAAGTGGTAAATAATTATCGCTGAATATACATAAAAAATGAAGAGTAATGATTTTCTCATGAATCCCAATGTCATATTTTGACTAAATTTATATAGAAATACCCCTTAAGTACCCCCTTTCTAATAAAAAAAGAATCGTAGAAATCTGACAAGGTAGTAAAGAATTATCGCTGAACATACATAACAAAAAATATTCCGACGAAATGAGAACCTCCTTCTTTTTTTTGAAGTCTGCTAAAAAGTCCGGATATTTACAAAGTTTTTAATCGAAAAAAAAAAAAATCGCATTTCCCGAGAATATTTGTTGACAAACCTCAGATTCGTGTTCAGCAACTCAAAAAAAAAGTAATTTTAAAAAACCGACTTCAAAATCGTGCAGTAGCCATTAAAAATTTAGTTTGCTGATTTTCTTATAGATGCCATCAGCAGATCTTGACTAAATTTATATAGGACAATCCCTCAGGTACCCCCTTTGTAACAAAAATCCTAGAAATCGGACAAGGTGGTAAATAATTATCGCCGACCATACATAAAAATTGGAAATGTTGATGATTTTATCATGAAACCAATTTTAGATCTTGATCTTGACCTAATTTATTTTATATGTATGAAGTACCCCTCCTTTCTAAGGAAAAATAGGATCATTAAAATCGTACAACGTGGTAAAAAATTATCGCTAAACATGCATAACAAAAATATATTTCGACGAATTGATATCGGTCAAAAATAGGTGAAATCGAAGTTGCAATGTATGTAGGTCTACACATTTTTAAATTTATACTTAATTGTTTTTTGTATAATTCATTCATATTTTAATCCTTTCTTCTTTCTTGATAACTAGTTTTTTTAATTAATCCGAAATTGTATAAATAATTAATTTATTTAATCGAACCGTCAAAAACCCGGTACAGGTCAATAACTAAGTGTTCTATATTATTGTTAAAAGTGTTACTATTGCTTTCACCTACCTATCGACTCCTTCTCTTTATAAGATATGCTTGAAAAAAGTTCCATCATTATTTAATCTCCTAATGAAGTCTCGGATTTTTGTATTTCTTCTTTATTTAACCCTGCCTATTTCTAACTACAACCTTTGTTTAGCCTGAATCTGATATATTATTTGCGAGCATCCCTAGACTTATACTAAAAAAAAAAAATACTTGTGGCACTCGGGGACTGCCGCGGTAAAGCTATTGCATAGCATTTTTTATCAACTTATGCAATTATAATTATTTATTTATGTTATTTATGCAGTATTTTTTTTTTCTTTGATATTAATTCAAGTTTTTTCTTGATATTAATTCAAGTTACTCTTTTTGAGCGTGGTGACCGATAAGAAAACAATTTTTTTTCTTTTATTGAATAAATGAGACGTTAATATTGTTTAAAATATTTTTATTATCTTACAATACATGTAGATTATTCAGGAATTTTTATCATTGAAACTATAGGTTTGTAGTAACTGAAATAAGAAACATAAGTTTCGAGACTTGATATCCTCTAAATATCTGGAAATTACCGCGTCAATGGTGGTCCCATATTTTGTTGTGGATTCTTGTGAATCATTATTCATTTTCATATTCAATTTTTCTAAAATTGTGTCTAAAAGAGGATATAATCAGTTAGCAGCTAGTCTACACGCATACGTCTAGTCGCACGCACACAAACACCGTGCCGAAGTCTGCAGAACTTAAACGACGTTGGACGATGCACGGCTTTCAACGCCGTACCGCTGTGCTGGTCGGAGTGGGGGGTGTTAGGTTTATTTTCGTTACAGAATTTGTTTCGATTTTTCGATTTTTTAACTTACAACATTTTGTTATTTTCAGGTGAACCAACATGGCGGAAGCCCATTCCGCTGTGGCCTTCTCGTTTGCCATCACTCACGAAGGTTTAGATGTTAATTTCGATCGAGAAGTCCTCCATCTGGTTTGGCAATCAGGAATTAGATCATGGAAAAAACGGGTAGCCAGATTCCAGGTAACATTTCCTTGTACTCTAACATTAAAACAAAGCATTTTCTTATCTTATACATTTTAGGGTGGTCTTTTAAAAATTTTCACTTTTATTTTCTTTATTTTGTTTTATAGATAACTAAATGCTATTTTAATCTGTTTTTACACCTAGATTTATATCGGCAAAGACAATAATTTAAAATTAATTACAATTATACAGGGTTCTCAAGGAAAGTGATTTATTAAAGTTAGGTTGTTTGAATTGCCTTCGCTTTTCCCATTATAACAATACTAAATAGTACGGGACTATACGGGTATTTCATACGCTATAACCATCTTTATGTGAGAATCATATTCATTTCAATGACTATACTGCAAAAGAAACAATTGAAAACTAATTTTTTTACTGTAAAAGATTTTCGATGTTACTCAACATTTTATGATATAAAAGTTTAGTTAGGTTACTGAACATTTATGCTGACGTTCCATTTTTCAATTTGAAACAAATCTGTACAGGGTGAGTCAAAATACAAAGACATCATTTTTTTTTAATTACCCTAATTAAACTTTAATTTCAGTTTGGCACTCTCTTTTCCTAAATTTATTAATTTTTGGGAGATTTAATTTTAACTGGTTACTGGTTAATAGGAAATAGATTGTGCGCTAATTAATAATTATAATTTAACGAGCTGCAATTTATTATGGTTGGTTGCTATTGGTGTTTATTTACTGAATATTACAGTCTTATTAGAAATTGTCAACCGGTATGACAACAGCCACGAGTTCTAGCTATCACTTTGACGGCAGGAAACAAACAACTAGCAATAATCAATCCAATCAAGTTTTTGTATTTATGATTAAAGTGCGTATAATAATCGCTGTGGCTAGGTACATGCCAACGTGTACACAAATCAAAAAATTATATGTACGTGAAACGTCATCAAACGTTGAATTACGCGCCCAAGTTATCTATATCAAAAAGGCGATTCCTCAGGACGAGGCCCATAATAATACTCGCGTATCGGGGACAACACTAATAATTTATAATTGCTGTGGTGGGAGGTGTTTGTGTGAATGCGTCTTGTTTGTTTTCATTTACGCCGTGACTAGCAGTAGTATTTTATAAACCTTAGAACCAAATTTCACATACATGAACAAATAATAATAAGACCGTGACAACAAGAAGATGAAGCAACGACTTCTCGTAGGATGGCGGCTTCGCCGCCACCAGAAAATTTAATCCTTACCTGGCCACGGCGACCGGCATAAACACCAACGGCCTGGACACAGCTCACCTACTCTGTCAAAATGAGACCGATGTACAAGTAAGATCTGGCGCATGACGTTTCGCGTGTATATAACTTTTTGAATTGCGTACAAGTTAGCGTGTACCTAGACACTGTATAATAATAAATCAATATAATGATGATATACATTTTTTAAGTTTCATTTTATTATTATATCTTAAAACAATTAAGTTATTGTTGTCCCTACTTTTTAAACAGTCTGTTTGATTTTTTCACCTTGGGTAGAAGTTCCATTTATTTTTAACCTAGTATTTTATGTTCAATTTGTTTTAGTTTATTTCGGAATTGTTTGAGTAATAGACTTTCACAGAACAGCTGCGGGATGGCATACAATTCTTCAGTAGAATAGAAAAAAAATAAAAATAAATGAAAGTAAATAAACGTAAATAAAAGTAAATAAAAGTAAATAAAAATAAAATAAATAGAAACAAAAAAGTATATGTACTTTTATTTATATTATTAATACATTATAACAATTTAATGTTATTTAAACATTTAGATAAACTCTAAAAAAAATTATTTTTATTTGCACAAAAATGTACATGTTATTTTTCTATTTCTAAGGTAATACTAAATAAGAGACACACTTAGATTATAATTATAACAAGTCGATGTAGGGAAATGTTTACCTACTTTATCCTGTATATAAAATTGATTAACTATGTACTACTAGTACTCGACTATGCATGTATGTAAATATTGCAAATTGATACATACTAATCTGAAATTCCGTAATAATCTGGGCGCAAACGAGCCGATTTTATTTGTTGACCTTTATCTGGAGCGCAGGTGTGCCGAAAAAGGTTAAAAGCGCAAATGGGCCGGGTGCAACTGGGCCGACTCCCCTCAATTTAGGTCGGTTGACCTTCAAATGAGTGCTTCCTTTTTGAACTACTCCCAGTTCTTGTCATTATTTCTTTCGTATGTCGCTTAAATTTAATAATTAATTTTTGTTACCTATCTTTACCACATATTTTAATTTTTACGCGTTTACTAATAAACCGTATTTATTTTTCAAAAACTACGTTTAGATGCAAAAAATAAAAAGTCCAATGTTGACATTCTGCTACAGTTTGTTTTAATGTTTTGTTTTCTCCGATCACCTGAATTTTTATTTATATTGTAACCCTGCGGATGGCTTTGATAGCCAAAACAAGATGTTGTGATTTTATTACTATTATTATGTAGTTTTTGTCAAATTAAAATGACAACTCTCTTCTAGATAATATATCTTGGAAAAATCCGCCAACAGTCGAACGGGCTATTTTTTTTTAATTTTTTTTTAACCATTTTAACACATTTCAAAATACTTTTTTTGTCCTGCAAACGCTATAAAATATTTTTTTCTTACCTTAAAACTATTAAAATGTGTCCTCCAATTTCGATGTTGAAAAAATTTAAACTACATCATTTTGATTAATTTCTTGTTATAGAAACTGCTAAATAATAACACTAGACCATCCATAATGCAATAAACCATCCAAATTTTTTCGTAAACAGTTTATTTTTTTAATTTAAGCTCATGTTTAGATTCGTCGGAATTTTTTAATTTTCGTAAAAACTATGACAATTAAGATTTGCAGTGACATATGTCTAAAAGAAATACAATGTTGCCATATCAATTATCTATTACATAGCAATGGTAATTTTTACCTATTCCCTGCGTTGTACCAGGCCAACCAATTGACTTCAGTATCAGAAAAATTATATAAAACTAACGATTTAAAAAAATACCCATATTAAGATCTTCTTCCTCACCCTCATCGGCAGAGTACTCTTCGACGACCTAACCTAAACTAACAATATACAATAAGAAGATGAAGTAACGACTTCTTGTAGGGTGGTGCTACCAAAAATTTTTAACTCATACCTGGCTACGCTGACCGGCATAGACTCCAACGGCCTGGACACAGCTCAAATTGAAAAACCTAACCTAACCAACCCTCATTAGCGTCTGGCCAGTGAACCTCGATCCCAACTTTTAACGAACGTGTCTTGTATCGTAGGCATCTAATAATAAGAAAATGAAGGAACGACTTCTTGTAAGGTGGTGGTTTTGCCGCCACCAGAAAATTTGTAAACCATACCTGGCTACGCCGACCGGCATAAACTCCAACGGCCTGGATACAGCTCAAATTGAAAAAAAACCTAACCTAACCTAACCAACCCTCATTAGCGTCTGGCCAGTGAACCTCGATCCCAACTTTTAACGAACGTGTCTTGTATCGTGAGCATCTAATAATAAGAAAATATACAATAAGAAAATGAAGGAACGACTTTTTGTAAGGTGGCGGCTTCGCCGCCACCAGAAAATTTTTAATCCATACCTTGCTACGCCGACCGGCATAAACTCCAACGGCCTGGACACAGCTCAAATTGAAGAAAAAAAACCTAACCTAACCAACCCTCATTAGCGTCTAGCCAGTGAACCTCGATCCCAACTTTTAACGAACGTGTCTTGTATCGTAGGCATCTAATAATAAGAAAATGAAGGAACGACTTCTTGTAAGGTGGTGGTTTTGCCGCCACCAGAAAATTTGTAAACCATACCTGGCTACGCCGACCGGCATAAACTCCAACGGCCTGGATACAGCTCAAATTGAAAAAAAACCTAACCTAACCAACCCTCATTAGCGTCTGGCCAGTGAACCTCGATCCCAACTTTTAACGAACGTGTCTTGTATCGTGAGCATCTAATAATAAGAAAATATACAATAAGAAAATGAAGGAACGACTTCTTGTAAGGTGGCGGCTTCGCCGCCACCAGAAAATTTTTAATCCATACCTTGCTACGCCGACCGGCATAAACTCCAACGGCCTGGACACAGCTCAAATTGAAGAAAAAAAACCTAACCTAACCAACCCTCATTAGCGTCTAGCCAGTGAACCTCGATCCCAACTTTTAACGAACGTGTCTTGTATTGTAGGCATCTAATAATAAGAAAATGAAGGAACGACTTCTTGTAAGGTGGTGTTTTTGCCGCCACCAGAAAATTTGTAAACCATACCTGGCTACGCCGACCGGCATAAACTCCAACGGCCTGGATACAGCTCAAATTGAAAAAAAACCTAACCTAACCAACCCTCATTAGCGTCTAGCCAGTGAACCTCGATCCCAACTTTTAACGAACGTGTCTTGTATCGTGAGCATCTAATAATAAGAAAATGAAGAAACGATTTCCTGTAAGGTGGCGGCTTCGCCGCCACAAGAAAATTTTTAAACCATACCTGGCTACGCCGACAGGCATAAACTCCAACGGCCTGGACATTAGATATTAGATAAGTACCGACATGCCGTAATTAACGTATAATCATCTTGAAATGAAATAAAAAGACGGTTGTCTGTGATTACTACAAATGTTCTCACTTCGAGATCCAAATTTACCTGCTGGCCAGACACTATATAATTTTTCAGCCAACTTTCACTAACCGAATTATTTCCTGACCTATATATTTTCTTACTCGATTTGGCAACCTCGCATTTATAGAAACTAGACACATCAATTGTCATTAAAAATAATTTAGTGTATTTATTTTTCTAACAAACTAAAAATGAAAAATAAGAAAATTTGATCGTATATGAAAAAAATTGGTACGGTTTATTGCTCTATGAATGGTCTTATATTGATATTTAGCCGTTTCTACAACAAGAAATCAGTGAAAATGGTTTATTTTGCAATTGTTTTATGATGGAGACCCGATAACAAATTTTAAGGAT